GCTTTGGGTCTCCCCTTCTACCCCCATCATTTGCATTGATATATTTGTTTGTCTGGGGTCTTCTGATGCCTGATATCGTATCATGTTGACATCTCATGATGACACAGGCTGGTGTGCTTCTTCCATGTGGGCTTTGTTGCTTCCCTGCTAGATGGCTGCTTGTTTAGCTTCTACCCTTTTAAGACTCCAGATGTGATATCTTGTAATAGCCAGACACCATCAACTTACTTCACTTTGCTTATGCACCCATTTTGACTTCTGCAATCGCGTCTGGAAGGTGAGCATCATAGAATGCTGGGTTATTAGAACAAAGTGTTCTTGTATTGAGGGAATACTTGAGTAGAGACCCAATGGGTTTGTAGTATCTTGATGGTGTAAAATATATTGATGCTGGTTTAGTGGTCTAACACAGTGGTTCTCAACCTTCCTAATGCTGCAACCCTTTAATACAGTTCCTCATCGAGGGTAGAGGGAGGGTGGGTTGGAAAGGGGGAACCGATTACAAGGATCTACATGTGACCTCCTTCCTGGGGGACGGACAACAGAAAAATGGGTGAAGGGAGACGTCAGACTGGGCAAGACATGACAAAATATAATTTATAAATTATCAAGGGTTCATGAGGAAGCAGGGAGCGGGGAGAGAGGGGAAAAAACAAGGAGCTGATGCCAGGGGCTTAAGTGGAGAGCAAATGTTTTGAGAATGATGAGGGCAGTGAATGTACAAATGTGCTTTACACAATTGATGTATCTATGGATTGTGATAAGAGCTGTATGAGCCCCTAATAAACTGATTTTTTTAAAATCCTCCTGTTGTGACCCATAACCATCAAATTATTTTCATTGCTACTTCATAACTGTAATTTTGCTACTGTTATGAATTGTAATGTAAATATCTGTCATGCAGGACACTTTTAAGATTTTTTTTCACTTTTTCAGTGGCTTGATTATGATGTGTCCCAGTTGTGAATCTCTTTGATGCTATTCCTACTTTGAATTTGTTAAGCTTCATAGATATGTTGATTAATGACTTTCATCATTTTGGGGATTTTTTAGCCATTATTCCTTTAAATATTCTTTCTTCCCTTTTCCCTCATCTCCTCTGGGACTCCTATTATGCATGTTTTTGAATGACTGATGATGCCCTGCTGGTTTCTTAGGCTCTGTGTTTTTTTCTTGATTACTTTTTCTTTTGAACCTCAGACTGAATAATGCTCCTTGGCCTTTCTTCAAATTTGTTAATTCTCCTGTGTGCTCTCTAATCTCCTGTTGAACCCTTTTAGTATGTTTTTTTTAAAATGTCCATTATTGTACTTTCCAATTCCATACTATCTATATTGTTCTTTTCAAATAGTTTTATTGGCACATAATTCACATATACATGTAGTCATATTAGGAAAAGTTGTACAATCATCACCAAAATCAATTCTGGAACGTTTTCTTCTTTCTTGTGCTCATTGTTACTAGCTCTCCATTTCCCACCAACCTGCCCTGTCATACCCCAAAGAAATCATTCATCCAATTATAGTATCTATAGAGTTACCTCTCCTGGATTTCATATACAGAAAAAGATATGCAAATACTGTATATACTCGAGTATAAGCTGACCAGAATATCAGCCAAGGCATCTAATTTTACCACAAAAACGGCATTAAAAATGTGCTGAAAAACTCAGTTTATACACGCGTGTATACGGTATTAGCTCCCCACCTCCCCTGCCTGTTTATAGAACATCCTTTGTTTCTTTTCATGATTGGTTTTTCTGTCGTTGTTGAAAATGAAACATTTTGAATATTATAGTGTGGCATCCATGGATATCACGTACTCTCCTCTCTGCAGAGGCACTGTTGCTGCTTGTTGTTTTGTTGTTTATTTGATTAATGACTTCTGCATTTTTTTTAAGTCTATTCTTGGTGTGTATGGTCAACTGAAATCTGATTTTGTTGTTGTTGTTGTTAATGGCCAGCTAGATTGGGTAGACATTTTCTTAAACATATGGAATAAAAAACACCCCAGTCACAGGAGTCACCATAACAGTAGCAAAATTACAGTTATGAGAACACTGGTGCAGAGGCATCCTTTAGCATTCAGTTAACTCTGCCTGAACTTTCACTTCCTATTTGCACAAATCTTCCAAGTTAGCCAGAAAGGAGAGCTTAGGATCCTGGGTTTTTTCTTGGCATTCGTGTTGCTACTTAGATCCCAGGAATATGTTGAAGATTTTCAAGATCCTTTATCCGCCAAACATCTCATTCTTTAGCCTTTCTTTTCAAACTCTTACCAGTCTATTGTTTGCCCTGTTATAAATTGTGTCAGGTGGTAGCAACTCAACATTGCCTGTGTTTTTAACAAACACCCCTCCTTTCCAGCGTGGCTCTAGCACTGACAAGTTTTAGTTTTCTGAAATAGGCTTGGTAAAACAAGCCTTTTGAGCAGCTCTCTAGGAGTAAGGTTTGTTTCATTAGATCAGTACCAGGAACCCTGGTGGTTACATGTTGGGCTGCTCCACCACAAGGCCAGCAGTTTGAATATACCATGTGCTCTGCTGGAGCAAGAAGAGACTTCCTGCACCTGTAAAGATTTACCCCCTCAGAAACTCAAAGAGACAGTTCAACTCTGTCCTGCAAAGTAGTTATGAGTGGAAATTGGTTCAGTGACAATAAGTTTCAGTTTTTGAGTTTATACCAGTACTAGAAATGTGGGTTGTTGATTATTTTCAAGGCTGCCATTGATTAAGTGGGGAACTGAGTGGGAGGAAGTAAGGTAAGTTAAAAATACCACAATGCTTGCTGTTCCTAACAAAACTCAGCTGTTTTTCTAGAGTGAGCACTCATGGGAGGACTTCAAGCTTTTGGTTAGTTTCCAGTGTTTTGAGGAAATTGGCTCTGAATTTTTGCCAGATTTTTAGGCGCTGATAAGGAGGGAAGGGCTTTTAAAGTTCTTACTTTTTATTTTTAAGCTACCTACATTATTATAGTATAAATGAGTATTGCAGTAACATAACAAATTATACTAATAGTACAAAAGAGGATATAGTAAAAAAAATGTTTCCCACTCTACTTGTTTTCTGCAGCCATTCAATTTATTCTTACCCCAAATCAAATCCACTGTTGTTGAGTCTAATCCAACCCATAGCAACCCTATATATTATTTCCAAGTGTGATGGTTAGAATTTTGTGTGCCAACACTGACTGCACTTGTAAGAAGATAAGGGTGGAATCTGGCCTATCAATCAGTTGCAAATATGGTCTTGTTGATAGAAATGAGTCCAGAGAACACATGGACCAATGACTTGTTTATAGTCAATATATTTCCTTTCACCTTTTCCTCAGCCATATAATATTCCTTTTACCCTAACCAAACCCAATGCCATCTAGTTGATTCTAACTTATAGAAACCCTATGATGTAGGGTTTAGGTTTAGGAAGGCAAATCCCAAACCCTTCTTTATGATGTTGGATTCTGACTCGCAGCAACCCTATGAAGAGGCTGTAAATCTCTTCAGGATCAGATAGCCTTATTCTCCCAAGAAACTGATTGAATTGAGCTACTGACATTGAGGTTGGCAGTTCAATCCTTTTCTGACTATTACTAGGATACTGAAAGTGTGTTCAGTGCTGATTAAATTTAAGTTGTTTGTTTCTTGAGTTTTTAAATAGAAATTAATCTCTTTGTGGGGTTTAAATTGACTATTAAGGTAGTGTAGTGGGTTACATGTTGGGCTACTGAGTACAAGGCCAGCAGTTCAAAATCATTGGTTTATCCAGGCTTTCTACTCATGTAAAAGTTAGTCTCAAAAACCGACAGAAGCAGTTCTAGTTGGCTCTGTCCTGTCACTTTGAGTCAGAACTGACTCCATGGCAGTGAGTGAGTGACAGGCATACAGTATAAGTCAGGGTATAATGCAGAGGACTTGCCTCCAAACCCCTGTGGGTTTCTGACACTGTAACTATTTACAGGAGTAGAAAGCCCAGTGTTTCTCCCTCAGAGCTGCTCCTGGTTTCGAACTGTCAACTATGCAGATTGCAGCCTAATGCGTAACCCCCACACCACCAGGACCTCTAAGGACTTGCCTAATGTTGTCCAAGTTAGGGTCAACTTTCCCCATATATTAGATGAAAAATTTAGCTTAATTGTTTTTTGAGGGTTAATTTAAAATCTGCTAGTTAAAATACTTTTATTCTTAATCTACTATAGGCTACTAAGATAGGCAAGCATGTTCTGTTAATCGTGCTGCTTGATTTGAGGGACAAGAATGCACCACTTATGTGCATGCTAATATTGCTTATAAAATGTAATATTCCTAAATAATAGATTAAAAGTAGTGTTTAGTCAGTATGTAAACCAGAGTTGGATCCCTCTGTATCGATCGAGACTTCCTAATTTACAGATTGTTTTTTAAAGCCATCATAATATAGGAAAACTGCTTCAAGAGAATTTAAACCTGTTGTTTAATAAAGAGCATTATAAATGCTGATTTAACTTGTAAAACTGGTTAAGCAAGATATTTGTTTGGACTAGACCTTTATTTGCTTAGGCATCATCAGATTTAATAAACCATTAGTTTTATTCTTCATACTTGAGCTCATTTCAGGAAACTTTAATTAGCAATTTTTCTTTCCTACATACATTACTTTGACCTTTTCCATGGAAAAATGATTTTTGGTATATGTGTTGATCAGCACTGGTACATGAACAGATAAGACTTCCTTATCTATACACGATATACCTTAGATTTTTGGAGAGTGAAAATTTTTTTAAAATTTGGTTAGGTTTGAGTCTAGTTTTATGAAAATTTAAAAAAATGGTTTCACCTTCATTGTGCTTGCCACAAGAGTTCTTTTCGGTGTAAATATTATTCACATTAAAAGATACAGATCTGGAGACGTGGAAGAAGGCAGAGGACGCTGGGTACTTCCGCCAGACCAAAGCCGACTGCCAGCTCAGTGGGTTCCGCCTCACCAGGAGGCTACTAAAGTTCCTGTAGAATTTCATAAAAGCCTAATGGATGGAGAGGAGAAAACTTATGGTGGCTGTGAAGGCCCGGATGCCATGTATATCAAACCGATATCTTCTTATGGCCATGAATTTATTGTAAAAAGAGAACATGCACTAACATCAGGAACAATAAAAGCCATGTTGAGTGGCCCAGGTCAGTTTGCTGAGAATGGAACCAATGAGGTCAATTTTAGAGAGATCCCATCACATGTGTTATCAAAAGTATGCATGTATTTTACCTACAAGGTTCACTGCACTAACAGCTCCACTGAGTTTCCCGAATTCCCAGTTGCACCTGAAATTGCACTGGAACTGCTGATGGCCACCAACTTCTTAGATTGTTAAATAAAATAAATTATAATAAATTTTTTAAAAAAAGATACAGATCTGACCCCACCACACAGAGGTGAAACCCGAAGGGTGTGCAACAGAACAGCAAGGGGAGCAGGGCCAGGCAGTCCCCAGGGTAGACTGCAGCCATCACACTCGACCGGAAAGCACTCCTACAGGCCAACAAGCAGACCTTTTTACAGGCTTTTCTCTCTGTGTGGTTGGTTTTGTTTTCTTTTGTTGCTTTGTTTTGCTCTGCCTTGTTCTTGTGCATATTATTATCTCTGTATGTCTATCTAGATAAGACGGGCGGGATCTGCAGGAGAAAATGATGGGACCGATGGTTCCCAGGGGACAGAGCAGAGGGGGAGGCGGAGGAAAGGGAGTGGTGTTAACAAACCCAGGGACAAGGGAACAGCAAGTGATCTAAAATCGATGGTGAGGAGGGTGTAGGAGCCCTGTTAGGGCTTGATCAGGGGCAATGTAACCGAGAGGAATTAGTGGTGAAGAAAGCTGATGGTGTCTGGCTATCAAAAGAAATAATGTCTGGGGTCTTAAAGGCTTGAAGATAAACAAGCAGCCATCTAGCTGAGAATCAACAAAGCCCACATGGAAGAAGCACACCAGCCTGTGTGATCCCGAGGTGTCGATGGGATCAGGTATCCCATCAGGGATCAGGTATCAAAGACCCAGAACAAAAAAATCTTACTATTAGGAATGAGGGGGAGTGCGGAGTGGAGACCCAAAGCTCCTCAGTTGGCAACTGGACATCCCCTCTGTATTAGTCTAGGTACTTTAGAGAAACAAATCCATAGCAATTCATGTATAAGAGAGTTTTTTGTAAAGAAAGTGTGCATTACAAAAACATCCCAACCCAATGCTGCCCAAGCTTGGTGGCTAACCAGAATATCTGGTTCACAACTCCTTGGGGTGAGAAGGATGTGGCAGTCCGCTTCTGTGAAGATTGCAACCCAGGAAACCGCAGGGCAGTTCTACTCTGTCTGGTAGGCTTGCTGTAATAGTCTAGGTACTTTAGAGAAACAAATCCTCAGCAACTCATGTATAAGAGAGAGTTTTATGTAAAGAAAATGTGCATCACGAAAACATCCCAACCCAATGCTGCCCAAGCCCACAAGTCCAACATTAACCCATTAACCCAACACCAGTCCACAAAGTCCTCCACCTCACAAAACAGAGGCAATGACGCCGACTGCAGGAGGAAAGCTGAGTCAGTGAACGAATAAGCATCTCAGCACTAGCAGGGGTCTCCACACGGCTGCTCCAGCACCCAGGCCTGCATCGGGATAGGTCCATGTGGCTTCTCCTTGGGGATGTCTTGTAAGAAGTCAATCTTGCAAGCTGAAGCAGGGAACTGCTAAGGCAGCTGCACCCCGTTGTGACCATCACAAAGCAAGAAACCGGAGAACTAGAAAGGCGAGGCTCACCACCCATTTATCCCTCCATCTTTCAATTAGCCCCACATGTGATTATCGGCGAGGTTGGCACAATTAACTATCTCACCCTCACAGAAGGTTTCACCGGCAGATGAGCCAGCCAGGGTGCAGTATACCAGTGATGAAACATTCAACTTTCCTCTAGTTCTTTAATACTTCCTCTACCCCCCCAGTATCATGACCCCAATTCTACCTTACAAATCCAGCTAGACCAGAGCCATGTACACAGGTACAGATAAGAGCTGGAAACACAGGGAATCCAGGACAGAGAAACCCCTTAGGACCAATGTTGAGAGTAGCCATACCAGGAGGGTAAAGGGAAGGTGGGGGAAGATAGGGCGAATTGATCACAATGATCTACATATAACCCCCTCCCAGGGGGTGGGACAGTGGAAAAGTGTGTGAGGAGAGACCATCGTTCAGTGTAAGACATGAAAAAATAAATGATTTATAAATTATCAAGGGCTTATGAGGGAGGGAGGAAAAGAAAATGAGCTGATACCAAGGGCTCAAGTAGAAAGAAAATATTTTGAAAATGATGATGGCAACAAATGTACAAATGTGCTTGACACAGTGGATGGAAGTAAGGATTGTGATAAGAGTTGTACAAGCCCCCAATAAAATGATTTTTTTAAAAGATACAGATCTTTTTTACTCCAAATTAAAGCTCTAGACTTGTGAATTTTGTTTTGTACTTTTAACTTTTTGTTAGGTATTACAGGAGCCCTGGTGGTACAGTGTAGTAAGTGCTGGGGTATTAACCAAGCCCATACTGTTCCATGGGAGGAAGATAAGGTTGGCTGCTTCCATAGAGATTTATAATCTTGGAAACCCAAATGAGCGTTTCTACTCTGTCCTGTAAGTCTGAATATACTTGATGACTATGGGATTTGTGTATTATTAGGCATTACTGAAAAACATTTTCCATTTTTGTGGGGTTCTTTTTTAAAAGAACTTGTTCCTTTTATATAGAAACAGTCACCTAGTTTTATTTTGGATTTATTGGAAATAGATGGGATATTGAGGATAAAGGGTGTAGCAGCATTTGAAAAGGAAGGCCTGTATTTTCTTAAGTGACTCATGATCACAGCCATCTTTATAAACCATCCAGTACCTTCTCCACCGTCCCGCTCTTCTCAGACATTTCATTGAGGTATAGTTTATATTCAATGAAACTCAAAGCTTGGTAATTTTAACAAGTGCACACACATACATAATCCACGTGCTTGCCAAGATCCGTAATACATCCCTTACTCTAAAAAGTTCGTTCAGTCTCTGTCCTCTGCAATGCTGAGCCGCAGTTAAAAATCTATGACAACTAGAACTATTTAGAGTTTCATGTAAATAGAAACACACACTAGATACTCATTGTGTCCCAGGGTGCTGTCTTTTGTGTTTTGTCTGTTTTATTATGTGTATAATATCTTAGTTACCTAGTGCTGCTCTAATGGAAATACTGCAAGAGATGGCTTGAACAAGCAGAAATTCATTTTCTTACAGGTTTTCATTTCACGCCCGTGCAGTCGCTTCTGACTCATTCCGGACAGCTGCTCCTGGGGGTTTCTGCGACTGTAACTCTGTATGGGGTAGAAAGCCCCAGCTCTCTCCCACTTGTATTTTAGGAGGCTAGAATCTAACACCAGCTCTAGAGAAGGCTTTTTCTCTCTGTCAGCTCTGGAGGAAAGCCATTGTCTCTTTAGCTTCTGTTCCCTACTTCCTTGGAGATTTTTATGCAACTTGGCATTCATCTTCCCTCCACTCTGCTTCCCTGATCTCTTTTTTTGTAAGGGATTGACAGAAAACACACCCTGTACTAATCTTGTCCCATTAACATTGCAGACAGCCCATCCCTAAATGGGATTATAACTGCAGACATGGACGTAAGAGCTTGCAACATATTTTTGAGAAGGACATAATTCAATTTGATACATATGATTAGTTTGTTTTCATAATGGTGAAAAATATTACACTGTTTGAATATATTGCAGTTTATTTAGCCAATCTCCTGTTGATGGAAAGGGGAGTATCTTAGTTATGAGTAATCTTACTCTAGTCATAAGTCCTTTTTGTGAGCATATAAAATTATTTACCTTAGGTACATATTTAGGAGAGTAAATGCAGATTGCATGGTAAGGGTATGTTAAAGAAAAGATACTGGCAAACGGTTTTCTTACGTTTCCATTGACCCGAGCAATAAATGGACTTTTCAGTGCTTCCTATTCTCTGCTTTCATCCCTTTTAGACAATGTTCAGGCCCCTTGGTGGCACAAGCAGCTTGCAGCAGATTGTTCATCTAAAGGTTGGTTGTTTGCACCCACCTAATGATGCCCCAAAAGGAGCCTTGGTGGCATAGTATCCTGTTTCCCCGAAAGTAAGACATCCTCCGAAAATAAGACCTACTCACAGTTTTGCCTCTCACTAAAATAGAAGGCATCCCCCCCGAAAATAAGGCCCCCCCGAAGCTACCATAACTCTGGACTCTGGATCGTAACGGCAGGTGCCGCCCACTGTTGGCCGCAGCGCAGCCGGAGCAGACACGAAGTGCGAGGTCTCTTTTAATAAAATAAACAATAAATGTCTACCATTTTCTTCTTCATGGAAAAATAAGACATCCCCTGCGCATCTTTGGGAGCAAAAATTAATATAAGACACTGTCTTATTTTCGGGGAAACGGGGCAGTTACAAGTTGGGCTGCTAACCACAAAGTTAGCGTTTCAAAACCACCACCGGCTCCTCTGGAGAAAGATGAAGCTTTCTGCTCCTGTGAAGAAGTACAATCTCTGGAACCCTGTCTTACAGTGTCATCATGGCAGTGAGTTTAGTTTGGGTGAACAATGCCCCAAAGAGCCTTGGTAGCACAGTGGTGACGCATTGGGCTGCTAACCACACGGGCAGCAGCTTGAAATCAACTCTGCAGGAGAAAGACGGGCTTTCTGTTCCCGTAAGAGGTACAGTCTTAGAAACTCCCAAGGACAGTTCTGTCCGGCCCTGCAGTCACTGTGAGTTGGCACCAACCTGGTGGCAGTGAGAAAATCGGTTGGAATTGACTCAGTGACAGTGAGTTTGGTGTGTAGAATGATGCCCCCTGAGAAAAACCTACTGATCTATTTCTGTAAGAGTTACAACCAAGGAAACCTTATGGAGCAATTCTTCTTTGTAATAGGTGGGGTCCACCAGCGTTGGAATAGATTCTGTGGCAACTAATTTTTCTTTCTTTCTTTCTTTTTGGTGCCTCCACACTCATGATGGCTCTATCTTTTTGGCAGATGGACTTTTACTCTCATTATGTAACATCCCTTTCTGCCTCTGGTAAGTGTCTTTGCTCTCTAGCCCACTTTATCTGACGTTAAGGGAAGACTCCTGCTTTCTTTTGCTTTGTTTGCATAAGCTATCTTTCCCCCGTCCTTATACTTTGTTTGCCTATATTATTATATGTGAGATGATTTCTTTTATAAAAATTATTAATCATTTTATTGAGGGGCTCTTACAAATCTTATGATAATCCATCATTCAGTTGTATTAAGCACACTTGTACATATGTTGCCATCAACATTTCTAAAA